ATATTCGACCGTGTCCAGACTTCTTTAACACCGTATATATATATATATATATATATATATATATATATATATATATATATATATATATATCCGCACGTGTAAATGGGAACGGTTTCTTTTCACGACGTGTTCGTGATCGCTTGTACTCGCGGGCAGTGATTAGGAGCGATGCGTGAAACGTTGGTAACGTTAATGAAAGAAGAGATCGCCCGCGGTACGTGACGTGCCATTTCCACTCGCGGTCAGATCAAGCGGAGAATTTTATCCTCTGTAGTGCGCGATTGTTCTCACCCGATCCGGCGACGTGACGGCGTTTATTGGATCGATACACCTTCGGTTCTTTTCCCTTCTCGCGCTAATAAAAAGCATCGACTCGATATTATCCGTATGATGGCGCGCACCGGTACCTCCGGCATCTCTCGACGATATAAAAAATGACGTCCGCGCGGGGCCAGCAACACTACGTGACGTGAGTAATCACCAGCAGCTGTACGAACGCACGTACGTGTAACACATCGAGATACGGTGGTGCAATGCGTCTACATTTTGCGTAAAACGTTCCGAAGCTCGTTAACCGTCTCCACCTTTGCCCCTTCTATTTCCTCTCTCTTCTCTCGAGACGCATCTGGAGTTTAAAAATGCCGACAGTCGTCGAGTGGAACCGAGTTTTCAATTTTAGATAAGAATTGAAATCTAACGCAATCTAAGATGGGCTCTCGTTAAAGACTCGTTTTGATAATTTGAATTTACAGTGAGGGAAAAATTTTTTTAAATCAAATAAATTGGTTTTCTTGAAACCTCTGCTTTAAATACAAGAAATTGTTTATTTCATTTCAGCAAAAGTATTTAATTTTAATTAAATATGCATGTTATATTAAGCTGTTATGTTACATTATTTTCATTTATATATTTTTTATATTTAAATAGTATTTTCGTAAAATATATACTATAATTTATTAAATTAAATATATTATTTTTTTAAATTAAAAAATTTAAAATTTTTCGGAATAAAAAATGCATTTTAATAAATATTTTGTAAAATTAAAATTAAAATATTTAATTAAAAATTATATTTTTTTAAACATATATAAATAAATATTTAACTTAGGCAAACAGACGTTTTGAATACAAGTAAATACGTGATTAGTACCCACCGAATAAATGGTTTTCTTGAGTTAACTAATATTTTTTTATTTCAAAATCATTTTTCCTCAATGTAGAAGGATGGAAAATTCTCGCGAAAAAAAATAAATTTCGAGAAGAAATTATTGCCTTCGTTTCGTATCTCGAGACATTTATATAAATCATCTCGATTGTATAACAAGATGACGCACAGATTCTACCGGTATCATTGCCGTAAGAAAACATTTACAATTTGATTTGATTTGATGATTTGCATGCGGCAAACATTTCGAGTAAAACGCATAAAACACGTATAATCCATTCAGTACTTATATGTTTTATCGCGAACGTTAAGACCTTCGTGTATTCTGACTCACGTCCCGGTTAATTTTGAATCGCTAACTGAATAGAATAATGAAGATATTAGAACATGAGAGAGAAAGAGAAAGAGAGAGAGATAAGATTTTATCGATCCGATGTAGTTTATATGTTCTGTAAATTGAATACATTCATCTATCTCAAGATTTCGTGCAGGATAATCCGTTCGAAGAAATTTTGAGATTGATAATAGCTAAAATTCATTTTGCATACATTGTATTTTTTAATTAAGCAAAAATTTCGAACATTGAATATTGTATGGTTGAAATATTACTATCTGTCGAATTATTTATTCGATGGCAGTTTTCAATGAATAATTTTGAATGTATTTATACGCGTTCGGAAAATAAGCCCCTCGTTAATATCTCATTTTTTTCAAATATTTAAATGGGATACACTCGCTCGTGTGCGTGACACACATTTTCCTCATAAAACAGTATCTTTCCAGAAATATCGGTTGTGATTCATAATTGGAAATTAATAAAATTAAACATTTTATCTCTCTATTTACGGGCGAATTCGTATTCATCCGTCTGCTTTTTTAATGGGAATTAGTGTGTAACAAACTCCAATGGATCGGATATAAATCCATTGTTGTAATTTTATTAAGCAACGTAGTATTAACGAACAGAGACGTTTCCGATAGGTCGTATCTAACTGTATCTAATTGATATTTATCAGCGTATTTACTACTCCATTACTTTCGTATTAAATCCCTCGTTTTAAACATTAAACTATAATGGTCAACGCATTAGATTTTAAGCAACGTATCACATGATAACTTAACGATTGTTTGGTTTATATTATCTGAAGTCATTGTCAAATTATGTAATTACGTTAAAAGGTTACTAATCTGTTGTCGAATTCCAATTACATTTCAGATACAGACAGGTCGTTTAATATAGTGAATATAAATTTCAAGTTTGCCATTAGATTGTGTGGAATTTTAAAAAGCTCTGTATATTTTGTTCAATTTGCTCTGGAAAATTATGAGCATTTTTGACGCCAATATATTTTTTGTTTTTCTTTTCCAATTATTAAAGGATTATCATCGTCTACGAAATATTTATATGTTTATCGATTATTAATGAATTTATTAAATTCGACCGAGTGTCCTTCCGGTTCTGCATCCGTAAAAGCCGCGGAACTACTGCCGTAGCTGCTCACTTAGCTAATTCTTACGGTCTCACGTACCATAAGCTGACGCGGCTGAAAATGATGAGCCTGAGATTCGAGATTACACACGTACCGCGGAACACGTTTCGAGTTATGGCACGGAATATGAAACGTTCCCTCGCGTTGAATTTATGAAAAGGAATTAATTTGCGCGATATGGCCGCGCGACGAGGAGCTCGCGAGAAAACCGCGACGACATTATCGATGCCGGTAAAAAAAGGTGTAAAAAATAACGTCGCCGGAGATAGACGAAATGTGGGAAATACTAATAATTTTTTGCCACGGTATACAGAAAAGAAATAAGTGTCAAATCAAAACTTGTATACTTGAACTAACGCGTTCATTGTTTCTTATATACGCAACAATTTATAATCTTCTTAGAAGAATTTAATAATTTTAAATTTCAACAATATTATAGTTTTATTTTAATATTGTAATTGTCACCTCAAGAATATATAATTATTTAATTCTACTTTAAGAAAATTATAATTTTTCATTTAAAAATGTTATTTTCTATCTAACATTGTTTCTTCCATTCAAGAAAATTAAATCTTAAATCATAAGAATATATTTTTCTCGATTGAACTATATAAAATGGCTTCATTCAAGTAAGCAATTATTCAAGCAATTATATTTTTTTTTAATTAACGCAATATAATCTCATTTCAAGATTTCCATGTTAAAATTAAATATATTTTCAAAACGAAAATGTCCTTTTATCTGTGTAACATGATTATTCCTTAAACTCACAGAAAAAATAAGAGTCAAATCAAAACTTATATACTTAAACTAACGCGTTCATTGTTTCGTATATACGCAACAATTTATAATCTTCTTAGAAGAATTTAATAATTTTAAATTTCAACAATATTATAGTTTTATTTTAATATTTTAATATTGTAATTGTCAGCTCAAGAATATATAATTATTTAATTCTATTTTAAGAAAATTATAATCTTTGATTTAAAAATGTTATTTTCTATCCAACATTGTTTCTCTTCCATTCAAGAAAATTAAATCTTAAATCATAAGAATATACTTTTCTCGATTGAATTATATAAAATGGCTTCATTCAAGTAAGCAATTATTCAAGCAATTATATTTTTCTTTAATTAATATAATCTCATTTCAAGATTTCCATGTTAAAATTCAATATATTTTCAAAACAAGAATTCCTTTTTTTCTTGTATAGAGTACGATTAAATAGCTCTTACAATTGTTACATACAGGGGAGGATGTTTTGAAAGAGATATATTCGTCTTACTTGAGAGATTTGATAGAATAATAATCGATTATAAATATTAAATTATCATAATGTAAAGAATATAAGTTTGGCTTTTATCTCGTTTACATGCATCTCAGAATGCAATGTGATAAGTGGAGCACGTATTTTGGGAGAGATAAAAGCTGTCGAAATATTCCATCGTTAGAAATCACGTGCTAAATTACGCATTGTTTTCTAGATTGTATTATTCGGCTCTGCTTCAACTAATCATGGAAAAGCCCTACTTAACTAATCGTAGACATGAATCATCAGTATCTATGTTATCTGACCCCCAACAGTCAATATTCTCTACAATGACGCAAATTGCAGGTACGTTAGCTTTACCGAGAAGATTATAAACGTCATAAACAAAAGTGATATTTTTATTGACTGCGTGTCAGATAAAAAAAATATGCTGCTAAAATACTGCTGCGTCATAAGAGTGCATAAATCCTATTTTGTAAAATGTGAAAAAAAGTTTTATAAGTGAATTTATTCACGTAGTATTTATTTCCTTCATTCTTAAAGATTATTTAGATTTGCACGCGTATTATCACTATTTTTATTTTTTATTCAATTTTCTATCATTTGTTTTGTTAATTCACTGCATGTGCATTCGATAATTTGTGAAAACATTTTGTTAGAATTTATACAAACAGATTATAAAAAATTAAATGTAATAATTGTTAACAATTACTATAAAATGTGAGAAAAAAGATGACAAGTTGATGACAATTAAAAGTTGTGAAATATGTCTGAAAGAAAATGCGTGAGCACGTTTAATGCGTGTGCACGGCCTTCTCCTTGTTAAACAGGATAAGATAAATGCAACCATGATATAACAAGTTCCGACATTCTACAGCAAAAGTACAAAACAAAATAAAATAAACGTTACGTTACTTTACGTAAATTGTTGATGTCAATGTCAAGCAATAAAAATCCGTGAGTTCATATGATTCTGTGGAATTATCAAACATGGAGACTCTGTGGAATTATCAAACATGGAGACTGATAACGCAAAGGTATAAATGCGTTCGTCTATCATCAGCCACGCAGTTTGACTTGAATTAACACGCGGGTTGACAATTAGTCTCGCACGATGCGTATCTTACTTTTCACGATTCTGTGCCTCTCTGCGATCGCTTGTATAACGGCGACCAATTTTCTCCAAGGTCAACGTCAGAAAGGCGATCATGTCGTCACTAATAGAACTATTCGCATAGTAAGTTGATTTAGAAAGTATTTGTGTGTGTTTTATTATCTTGTATGTAAAATTTACATATTTTTTACTTTACTTATTGATTTTAAAAAATCTTTTAACAGAGATTATATGTGTCTTTAATTTACAAATAAATTTTATGTTTCATTCTGTAGATATTAAGAAAAATGTATCTCGTATGTTAATTATCTCATGCAAATTTGTTATTTAAATTTGACACTTTGTATCATAATTTGTGACCGGTTTATTTAAAATATATAAGCGTCAAAATTTATGTTCCAATATTTATCTCTTTTATAATGTACAATATTACAATCTAGCATATTCTAATAAATGTCTTTTTTATCTGATTTTATTTTGTTTTTTATCATAATAATTTTTGATATACTCAATACATAAGATTTTTGAGTTTTTTAATTATAATTGTTAAATATTTAATTAGTGACAATTATTATATATTATTTAATTTCTCTTTAAAGTTAAATAATTTTAATGTGCCTATTTAATGTGCCTATTTTATAATTACATTGCTTATTATTACTCTAAAATTTTATTTATATATTATAGCCTGTCGGTCGCCGGAGAGCTAGGATAGCTACAATCGGTATTTCAACTCACTCATCAGATCAAATTATTAACTTCGTTAATATTACTAGTATACAAGACAAAGAAGTCACTTACGTAGTGTCTAAAGGTGGCATTGGTTTACCGTTCATAGTAATAAAAGCTATTGGACAACAGAAGGAAGGATTAAATTTATACGTAGAAGGTTTCGCCAAGCTTATTCAGAGCGATGAAAGTAGTAGCTCATCCGACGAATCAAGCAGCAGTTCATCTGACGATTCAAGCAGCAGCTCACCTGACAATTCAAGTAGCAGTTCATCCGACAGTTCAAGCAGCAGCTCACCTGACAGTTCAAGCAGCAGCTCACCTGACAGTTCGAGCAGCAGCTCACCTGACAGTTCGAGCAGCAGTTCATCCGACGATTCAAGCAGCTCATCTGATAATTCAAGCAGCAGCTCATCTGACAGTTCAAGCAGCAGCTCACCTGACAGTTCGAGCAGCAGCTCACCTGACAGTTCAAGCAGCAGTTCATCCGACGATTCAAGCAGCTCATCTGATAATTCAAGCAGCAGCTCATCTGACAATTCAAACAGCAGCACATCTGATGAAAACAGCAATGCAACGAATGAAAACAGCAGCACACCTAGCAGTGCAAGTAGTAACACATCCAATAGTGGAAGTAACAATACACCGAACAATGCAAGCAGTAACACACCCAATGATGAAAGCAGCAGCACACCCAGCAGTGTAACTAGCAATGCACCCGTCAATGAAAACAGCAGTACATCCGGTGTAAACAGCACACCTGAAAATGAAAGTAGTAGCACAACCAATGATGAAAGCAGCAGCGCATCCAATAATGAAAGCAACACCACTCCTGGTGAAAGCACATCCAATGGAGCAAGTAGCAATACACCCAATGAAAACAACAGCACACCCGGCGAGGCAAATAGCAATGCACCCAACGATGGAAGCAGCAGCACGCCCAGTAGTGTAACTAGCAATGCACCCGTCAGTGAAAACAGCAGTACATCCGGTGTAAACAGCACACCTGAAAATGAAAGTAGTAGCACAACCAATGATGAAAGCAGCACCGCATCCAATAATGAAAGCAACACCACTCCTGATGAAAGCACATCCAATGGTGCAAGTAGCAATACACCCAATGAAAACAACAGCACACCCGGCGAGGCAAATAGCAATGCACCCAACGATGGAAGCAGCAGCACGCCCAGTAGTGTAACTAGCAATGCACCCGTCAGTGAAAATAGCAGTACATCCGGTGTAAACAGCACACCTGAAAATGAAAGTAGTAGCACAACCAATGATGAAAGCAGCACCGCATCCAATAATGAAAGCAACACCACTCCTGATGAAAGCACGTCCAATGGTGCAAGCAATACACCCAATGAAAACAGCAGCACACTCGGCGATGCAAATAGCAATGCACCCAATGGGAGCAGCAGCACGCCCAATAACTAATGTAATTAGCAACAATGAATTGAACGACATTGTTATTGTTTTTTAAATTGAAAACTTTTGTAAATATATTGTTTTCATATAATCTGAATATGTAACAATTATCATATACGTATTGCACATACATGAAATATATAAAGATTGCATTATACATTATGCAATGTGCTATTTAATTAATATACAGGGTGTATCTTAAAAAGCTCCCACTAAGCAAATAGCGTTATTCCTGATTAAAAACCGAGTCGAAAAGTCCTGAACCATTTTTTTTCAAGATTCATTATATAATTAATCAGATTTAAGTATTAAAAAGATTTCTGAAAAGATGAACTGTTTAAAATTTGACACAAAACAGTTTATTTTTTTGCTTATCCAAATCTTCATATGTTGATGACGAGGAAGTTTGTCTTTTTATTGGCGCGAACTTTACTCATTAATTACTGCTTTATTAAACATTATGGAAAAAAATGGTTCAGGACTTTTCGACTCGGTTTTTAATCAGGAATAACGCTATTTGCTTAATGGGAGCTTTTTAAGATACACTCTGTATAACGTATATATAAATCTAATAATACAAGTAAGAATATACATGCTTTAATTTCGACATCAGTTTATAATGTGCCATTTTTTACGACGCCAGAATGCAGTATACGCCGGCGTGTACCTTGTAATTTGACGATTCTCGCGAACCACTTAACATCAAGCCCATACATTCCCATATAGCGCTTTTTCGAACGTTCCCTTTCTCTTATAACACGGTTTGACTAAGGTAAACCTCCAATCCGTTCGCAGGTAAACGATTATCCTCTCCCGCGACCCCTATCGTTTCTCGCAAAAGAATTGGGTATCTCTCGTTGCGAATCTCAGCAAAATTGCGTCGGCGCTTATTATTCCACGTGACGAAATGATGGTGTTCGTGGCCAAACACAAAGAGACATTCGTCTCAGTCGCGTGAATCGTGTAATCGCGCACAAACGATTCCACGCCCAGGGAATTTTACGCAGAAAATTTTACGCGTATATATATGATGGGATGGTTTTTGTAAATTTACATATGCACGCACGACGCGTCGCATATATTCCACATGTTATTCGAGAGAGTACGAACGAGATAGTCGTTTCTAACCGGTATTTTTCACGCATATCATTACGTTAATAGAAGGCGCGTTCAACATAATTTGACGCAGTTTCCGGATAACGTGCAAAACAAATATCGTATCGAAAAAGAAAAAAAAAACCCGCGCTGAAAATTAAATCAATTATTCATTTCTTTGTTTACGCTTTATTCAAGCTAAAGCGCATTTCCAACTGCGATATAAAAGAGGCTTTCAAGATCACTCTTTCCCGATCTTTCTTTACACTCAACCTCAATATTTGTGTTAAATTATCGTATAACACCGGACTGTATAATATTTTCCTACGGATAAATATAATTATTCATTAACTTTCTTTTCCTCGGTAATACTTTATTTTATATTCTTTTGCTGGTAAAAGAGAAAAGCCTTTCCTTTATGTACGCTGTAAAACTTCAAGCTGCATAAAATTATCGGCATTGCAGCATGTGATGAGTGTACGACCCTTTTTATATTTCTATTTTTTTTTTACGTTGACTGATCAAGCACGAAAGCGTTTTTATTTTTAGACGTTAACCACGGCCGCTTTGCCTTTCCTTTATATGTATAAAAAAAAAATCCGCTGAAAAACTTTTACTCGTCTCGCGCATAACGCGCTCGCACACATTCGCGTACACACACACACACACACACACACACACACACACACACACACATATATATATATATATATATATACATATATAAAAGAGTATATACGACATATACACAAGATATTACGCTCCGACGATTAAGAGAACGTTAAGAGGTCGAGCGAGGAGGGAACGAAACTCGTGCACCGATATTTCGGATGATGGATCGATATGGTGCCAACTGCGGTAATTTCTCTCTGAGGAGAAGCTAAACGAGATATGAACGACACGATTAATTCCCCCGAACGATCTTTTTCGGTGCTGTTAACGGTTATCTGATTGGCTCACGCAGCACCCGACCAGCTACAGTGCAACGTAACGAGCTGTAGGGATCGCTTTTTTTTGCTGGCACGATGGCGGCGGCGGCGTGCGTTCTTTTTGCACGACCGACCGATGGCGAGAACCCGGCTGGCAAGATCGGGCCGATTATTATGGCGAAAGAAGAGTGTTGAGCGCGAAATAATGTTTGCACGGATCCGCAATACGTACGTTTAATTAATAAACAGCACTCACTCAATACGCGTATCCCGGCGGTGGGCACGTTTTGAATAAAGACTATTGGAAATAATCTTCGAATATATATATAGTTTCATTTAAAAGTATATTGTTACTTGTGCTTTTGTTTTATTAATGTATTTTCCGCGCACTATAATAGATATAATAATATTAACAATAATTATTAATTATTACAAACACATCGATGATTATTATTAATTATGAAAATGTTATAATAATCTCGAAATTATCAAAAATTCTTATTTAATAAATATTAAAGGTATTTGAAATTTTCGAAATTGCATTAACTATTGTATTAATTTAGATAAAAATTGTTATTTTTCGTATTATTTTAAATAGTTTCTTCACATTATATCATTTCGAAAGCTAACTATTGTGTTTATTTAATAACAAATTATGAAAATAACTAACATTAATAATAATGCAGATAATAACAATAAATAACATGCAGATAATAACAATAAATAACATTAATAATAATGCAGATAATGTAATAAAATATAAACAATAATAAATTTAAAAAACACAAGCCGTGAGAGAAAATAAATGGAATAAATACAAATTCCAATAAATAAAAATCAAATGTTTTGCTTCTTATAAAATAATTTTAATTAACTATTTATGATCTAAGAAAAATAGATTCTAGAACAGCAACACGTATCAGTAATAATTATTGAAATAATTTCGAAATTATCAAAAATTCTTATTTAATAAATATTAAAGGTATTTGAAATTTTCGAAATTGCATTAACTATTGTATTAATTTAGGTAAAAATTATTTTTCGTATTATTTTAAATGTTTCTTCAAATTATATTATTTCGAAAGCTAACTATTGTATTTATTTAATAACAAATTATGAAAATAACTAACATTATAATGCAGATAATGTAATAAAATATAAACAATAATAAATTTAAAAAATACAAGCCGTGAGAGAAAATAAATGGAATTAATACAAATTCCAATAAATAAAAATCAAATGTTTTGCTTCTTATAAAATAATTTTAATTAACTATTTATGATCTAAGAAAAATAGATTCTAGAACAGCAATACACGCAGTAATAATTATTGAAATAATTTCGAAATTATCAAAAATTCTTATTTAATAAATTAATATTAAAAGTATTTGAAATTTTCGAAATTGCATTAACTATTGTATTAATTTAGACAAAAATTGTAATTTTTCGTATTATTTTAAATGTTTCTTCAAATTATATTATTTCGAAAGCTAACTATTGCGTTTATTTAATATCACAAACTAACATTATAATGCAGATATAATGTAATAAAATATAAACAATAATAAATCTAAAAAACACAAGCCATGAGAGAAAATAAATGGAATAAATATAAATTCCAATAAACAAATATCAAATATTTTGCTTCTTATAAAGTGAAAAAAATAATTTTAAATAATTATTTTATATTAATTATTTATGATCTAACAAGAAAAATATAGATTCTAAAGATCAATATCTTTTCTATTCAAAAGCTATTTTTTATTTATATTATGCGCATACCCGATACCTCGAGTATTGTCAAATTTAGAGCTCGAACGAAACTGTCCACCCGCATTTGAATCTTTTATACGCGACAAACTTATAGTTCATTGTAATATTAATTTTTCGCATCTCTGCCCATCCACGAATATTTAATAAATAGCGTCGGTATCGCGCAGATATACGCCTTGTTTGCACTGCAAGCGTACGTGACGTTTGCAGGTTGCGAATGAAATATGTATCACGCGAGCGGTTTTAGCACGTATGACGCGTTCAAACATTTTACGCATTCATAACGACGCAGGCAATTACCCTCCCCAAGTTGCCAGTGCGATAAGTACCGAGCTAAAAAACTATAAATCTCACGAGTTTCGTGACACGCGCCGCGCGATCTTCCAGCATCACAGCCATGACGAGCGTCATGTGGGTACCCATGTAATATCAAAGCGTACCGTGACAAATCCCAGATTACCTTTCGGGGATAACAATACGGGCGACAACACGGTATGTAGAAAGCGGAACCGTGATGTTAATTTCCTGTTGCCAAGCCAAACAAACCAAACATGGAGAAACAAAGACTCATGGGGGATCTTTGCTACGCCTGTCTGCTTCCCTCCTCTTGCCGAATCGTGACTTCCGTCGTTAAAGATATTTGCCACTCGTGCGTGAAAAGCAATCGTAACATAAGTCCGAAATTGCCTTAATATTTCATAATGATATCTTATATTAAGTAAAGTTTAGATAGAGAAGTATAATGTATATTATTAATTATTAAAATATTGTAATAATTTTCAGAAGTATAGAAAATTGAGTTCGAGAAAATCGCTTGTTATCTAAAAAATGCAAGCAATGTGGGGCAAAATTATAGAATGAAAATTTGTTCAATTAATGAAGCATCAACTTTTTTGATTTATAATATCCGAGCATCAACTTTTTCAATTTATAATACCCGATATTATTGAAATGGAAATTTGCATTTCAGGAAACAAAAGTTTGCAAAAATAACTTACTGTTCCAAATAAATTGATGAATATCGATGTTACGAAAATTGGGAAAACGCAAATATAATGCGACATATACGTCAGTAGAATGATTTTTTCAAAATGAAACGAAAACTAGAAAGAAATATAACAATAAATTAAATATAAATTCAGTTTTGCATAAAAAAAAGTAATTTATCAAATATGATAATCTCCTTTGAATGTGAAAGAGAAAAGCAACGGAGTCATGTATATAGATCAGAGCTTTAATTAAAAAATGTAACAAGCCATTAAAACGCGGGGACAGATCTGAGATGATAACGTGCCACATTATATATTTATTTCTAGAAAAGCAGACAAGTTGTATAGTCGGACTCTTTGTCTCGCTTTCCATAGCTTCGAAGTTTAATTAACCCGTGCGAATTTGCGTAAAGAAAAATTACGCCATTGCATAAACAAGATGCTGTTATTATCTCGGAATATAGTTAAATTTGTAGCGCGTAGCACGATACAGTTGAATTTTAGTGCAACTGGAATGTATAGAACTTATATAAACTTTCGACCCTAGTCTCTCTCTCTCTTTCGCTGTATTCTTAATTCATTAATTTCAAAGTTACTTTAAAATTGTTGAGGCATCAATTCTCACAAATCTCTCTTTCTCTTTCTTTCCATCAATTCTAAATTATGAGTAAATCTTCACTCTCCCTATTCGTTAAAATCAGAATACACTTTACCATCTTCGAATAATCTTAAAAAAGTAGAGATATTTAACGATGCATTGCGGTAAGAAATTTTAATATAAATAAATGTGTAACTCGACCATCACATTTCATCTACTTTTCC